AAATTGGCGCGCAGGGGCATTCTAGGCTCGACATCAATAGCTGGGCCAAGTACTGGTGGTTTAAGGATATACCGTCTTCCCCCGAACATAACGCGRCCTTTTTCTTCGAATACAAGGGCACTTCGAATATAACGCATATTTATTTTATTTGAATAATACACATATGTGTTATATTTGAATTTCACGAAGATAAAATTGTTGTATTCGAATATAACTCCCCCCCCAAGGTCAACGCCTGCTCCATTCTTGCTCTGGTGAACGGGAGCCCCCCAGCCATGGTCCAGAACTGAGCCTACTCAGCCTGGACCCGACCCCCTTGTGCAGACAAAGTTGGTCTTGTTCACTCGAACATAGCGCATATGCGTTGCACGGTACTTGTATTCGTTGTATTCGTTTACAATGCATATGCGTTATGTTCAGAGCTACCACGTTTATGGGACAGTGGCCCCGTTTCCGAGTAGTTGCAGATTTCCTTGGGACTTTGGACCTGGTTTCTAGCTCTTGGTACAGCATTTATATTGGGACACTGGACCCGCTTTCCAGTACTAGCCCAAATTGGGTAACGGCCCCGGCCTCTTCATTCAGTTCATAACGGCAAGATCTTTTAATCCAAAAAAGAAGAAGAAAAAAGACATATCTATTGACACATGTAAATGTAAATGAGCCCATACGACCTGGACGCACCACTCAACAGATTGAATCCGACAAAAGCTATGGTGGGTGTACTTTCACCACTCAACAGATTGAATCCGGCAAAAGCTATGGTGGGTGTACTTTCCCACGTTCTGAGGGAAGATACATGCTTCATCTTGCACATTTGGTGAGTGGTGCCACAGAGGCCCATGTACTCATATACACATTTATGTATGCACTCATTGATAGTTGTATATACACACATACATGGAAATGAAAAGTGAATGTTTAAGATATACAGTTTGTCACAGCCCCTCGTTTGTTGTCCTCTTCTCTCTCTCTGCCTACGGTTTACCGGGCAGTTCTGTTTGTGACGATATATACACATACATATTAGGGCATAGCTCCGTTACTCAGCACATGCACAAAGGACAAAAAATATGGGGGTGTATCTTTTCATGTTCTAGGTGAAGATTCACTCTCATTTTGCACATCTGGTGAGTACTGGAGCGAGGCCCATACACACAAGATTGCGAGCGATTACATGGAATCGCGAGTGTTGACTCGCGCGATCGGGTCTCAACGATGTAGGCAAGGCAATTGGTTTTAGATTTATTTTTATTAAATATAAAAATACGGGAAAAATTACGATATAAAGCGTCGCTCCGCTACCTCGGAAATGCACAAAAGACAAAAATCATGGCGATGTATCTTTCCTTGTTATAGAGGAAGATTCACTCTCGTTTTGCACATTTCGAGAGTGGTGGAGCGAGGCCCATTTTTTTTTTTTTTTGTTTTGGAGCCAAGTCCCAGTGGCGCTTTTTTGGCTGTCGTAGCTTTTTTTCTTTTTTCTTTTCTTTTCTTGTTTTGGCCTTAGCTTTTTACACACAAGCGCGTGGAAAGGCGCTCTCCGCTTGTCCGGCGGTTGTTTTTTGGCCGTCCGCGCGCAGATGCAGCTCCTTTTTCTCGCCGTTGTCGCGTTGTCGCCTTGTCGCGTTGTCTCTCTTTCACGCGCGTCCTTCATTCTTTGCCTTTCGCCATTCCCCGGAACAAGGTCCCACTTGCACGGTGATTAAGAGATTCTGGCCGTTGATCTTTGCTATCTATCTTCGGTCAATACCGCTTAATTCGCGTAAGTGGGACCTACGCCCCGCGCAGCTCGCGAGATTTCGCGTTCCATCAGTTTTGTCGTGTTTCACGTTCGTCGTAGGGAGAGTAGGGACGTCGGTGGAAGCCTTGTAGGCCTATCTGGTGTTTTTGGTGGCAGAGTAGAGAGAGAGAGAGAGAGAGAGAGAGAGAGACTGACGTAGGAAGCAGGCAGGCGCGTGGCTTTGTGAGCGGCGAAGCGCGGGAAAGCAAGAGAGCGGCGGGGTCTTGGAGCTCCGACGGGCAGATGCAAGGAGAGGGGGGGTGGTGTAGGAGGGGGAAGGTGAACAGAGGTCCGCCGGCGGGGCCTGCTGTCGCTTACCATGGCCATCGGCGGGGACTGAGGTTGTAGAGGGGGTACACAGAAGCCGAACGATGGGAAAAGAAGAGGCGGGGAATGAGGTTGTGGGACGAATTTCAGCGGCAGGAGACGGCGGGAAGATGGCAAAGAAGAGGCCATTGGCGGGAAGAATGCGGGGATAGCGAGTGGGAAGCGGCGGGAAAAGGAGGTAGGAGGTGAAAGTGGAGGAAGAAGAGAGAGAGAGAGAGAGAGAGAGAGAGAGAGAGAGAGAGAGAGAGAGAGAGGGGCGGTCGTCGGCGGGACGAACGACCGAAAGAAGGCGGGAAAGAGAGTTGACAGCGGCGACTTTTCCACCTCCCCGCCGGCCAGTACCACCACCTCCTCTCTTCTCCCATCTGTGTCAGTCTGTGTCCATTCGTCGAGCTAGCTCGTTTTTTTTTTTTTTTTCCCGAGAGCTAGCTCGGTTTTGGGTACTCGTCGTACGAGTGCGAGTGAGCTGGTGCCCCGTCGTCGAGAGCACGAGAGGAAACAAGAACAAGAACAAGAATGATGTGACCAGCAGGGGGTTCGCGCGAAGTAACAGTAGCAGCGAGAGTGTCGATAGTCGATGTAGGTCCCAGGCGGTCGTGCGCCGGACGAAGACGCTGATGCGGGCGGGGTCCTCAACCTAGCCGGCTGGGCAGCGGAATTACCGCCGGCGACTGCGTTGGACACCCAATCAATCAATCAGTCAATCAATCACAAGAGCAAGGGCCAGACAGACAGGCTAGGAAGTTTTGTCTCTGGCTTTTGTGCTTGCTTGTCAACACATTCGCCTGTGCGCGTGTGTAATCTAATCCCTGTCAATGCGAAGCCATCTATCGCATCGCTCTTGTGACTGGGTCGTTTCTCCATCATCATGTCATTCTCCTCCCATCACATTCGCTCTCACTTCTCATGCCCATTCGGATTTTCCATCACGTTCTCCCTGACTTCTCATGCTCATTGCAATTTTCCATCACGTCCTCTCTTACTCAACATGCCCATTGCAATTGAATCACAGAGTTCAGTGTACAGGGCATAGTATACCATTTTCCTTCTCCTTTCTCTTACACGCACAGAGAGTGTGTGTGTGTGTGTCTGAGTGCGTGTGTGAGAGAGAGAGAGGTGGGAGGGGTTCTCTTCTTGTGCGTAAGTCAAAAGGGAGGGAGAAGAAGAGGGAGGAAAGGGAGGTGGTGGAGACAACGGCGGTCTGCTGCGGCGGGTTCGTTTGCCCCTCTCTGTGTGTGTGTGTGTGTGTGTGTGTGTGTGTGTGTGTGTGTGAGAGAGAGAGAGAGAGAGAGAGAGAGAGAGAGAGAGAGAGAATAATCACATTGCGCAGGGATGCTCCTCTCTTGAGTCTCTTCTCTTCCCCGCGAGAGAGAGAGAGAGAGAGAGAGAGAGAGAGAGAGAGAGAGCTGTCTCTTATACACATCTAGATGTGTATAAGAGACAGGAGGGAAGGGAGGTGGTGAAGACAACGGCGGTCTGCTGCGGCGGGTTCGTTTGCCACTCTGTGTGTGTGTGTGTGTGAGAGAGAGAGAGAGAGAGAGAGAGAGAGAGAGAGAGAGAGAGAGAGAGAGAGAGATGGGCGAGACGGATGGATGTGGAGTGGACGACTAGGGAGAGCGTTCGTGAAGATCAGTTGCTGATGTTCTTTGCAAGAAGATAGCGATGGCGGTTTCTTCTATGATAGCGATGAAGCGGCGGGCGTTGACTATTCATCCTCTTCTTCTTTTTGTGTTGTTGGCGTTGATTAGAGGAGCGAATTCGTTTGCGGATCCGTCTACAAGTGAGTGAATGATTCGCTCATAGTCCCACTTGCTGCACTTGGAAAACTCCTGTGCTGCTATGGTGGTTGCAGAAGGCCTGATTTTCCTATTGGGGAAAGTTCGATGCTTGTGTGATGGGTTAGGGCAAAAAGTTGGAGACTTGTGTGATGATGTGACGTGTGGTCTGTGATAATCTTCCTTCCAAGGGTACTACCGTCTTCCCCCCGAACACAAGGCACCCTCATTTTGGCTGTATCTGGCCGGAAATATAACTCCTGTCCATTCATTTTTAGGGTGTGTTATGTTCGGGCAAGACGGTAGCGACTGAAGACACACTCCGCACACAGATGTCCTTTTCTTCCTCTCTTAGGAGCACTCTGTCCTTCGCTTATCTTCTTTCCAACTCACTCTCTCTCTTTTGTAACACTTTTTTTTATTGTTATAATAAAAATTCCCACCCACACACTCACACACACAGAGCCACCCCCTTCTATTCTGGGGGTCACCAGTCTGTGTGCTTATCACCGGCAACCAAAACACACACACACACAGAGCCCCCTTTCTATTCTGGGGGTCACACCTGTCTGTGTGCTTGTCACCGGCAACCAAAAACCAAGTTGTGGACATTAAAACGACTCCGTGTGGGGGAAGTAGGGGTGGTATTTACAGACAAACGGGATACTCCCCTTGGTGGGTCACCAGTCGTTGCCTGAGTCGGCCACCTCTGTCTCAGCTTCTCGCCCTGGTAGAGCCTACTCTACCCTTGGTTGTAATGCTCTCTCTTTGTCACACAGCGTCTTTTTACCTCTTTTTTTTTTTTTTTTTTTTCCCTCTTTGTAGATCGCCTCCTGGTGAGACCAGATGCTGCACCTGGGTGAAGCGTAGAGGAACGCGTGTTTATTTCGAGCATGAGAACACGACGCGTGTATGCGTTGTATTGGATTTTTTTCTATTTTTTTATTTTTTATAGTTGTATTGAAATATCAGAACACGCGTGTATGCGTTGTATTGCAATTTTTTTAAATATTTCTTTATAGCTGTATTGAAATATCATTAGAGTGCGTGCGAAGAGAAATTGGCCGTGGCTGGTCTTGCATCCTTCTCTTTGTAACACTCTTCCTCTTTTTTTTCCCCTTTTTTTTGTTTTTCTTCTTCTATTTGGTTTTCTCTTATTTGAGTGCTCACTCCTCGCTCGCCTACCCTAACACTAGGAAGTTCGTGGATGTATCTGACCGCATTCGGCTGCTAGATTCAGTCGAGAACTTATACAAGTATCAGTCCTCTTGAATTCTGCTTTTTCTTACTTCGTTTTCCTTGCTCTTTCTTTTTTCCCCACCTTTTTATCGTTTTCTTCCCTTTTTTTTTTTTTATAATTTTTTTCTCGACTCCCCCCCCCCTCAAGTCTTTCCTCTCGCTCTCTCAACTTTTGCCCTATCAAGCCTTGCTCTCTGTACTTCCCTTCTCTTTCTCTCTCTCTCTCTCTCTCTCCCCTGCCGTCTTCCACGAAACACAACGCACCTTCAAGATCAGTACATCGACTTCTTCCTCTGTCAACTTTTTCCTCTCAACTCTTTCCTCTCTCAACTTTTGCCCTATCTTTGCTCCTAATTTCTCCCTCTCTCTCTCTCTCACGCTCTCTCTCACGCTCTCTCTCTCATGCTCTCTTTTTCTCACGCTCTCTCTCTCACGCTCTCTCTCTCTCACGCTCTCTCTCTCTCACGCTCGCTCTCTCTCTCTCACGCGCTCTCTCTCCCTCTCGCGCTCTTTCTCTCTCTCTCTCTCTCTCTCTCTCTCTCTCCTATCGTGTTCCCCGGAATAATACACGCTCACGATTGCTACATCGGATTATACACATTCGTGTTCAGGGTGTGTTGTATGCAAGAGGGGGGGGGGTCGACAGTAGTTCCTTGTCTCGACTGCTTTTCTCTTCCCTTCCTTTAATGTTCTTTTCCCCCCCCTTCTCTTGCGGGGTTTATTTTCTGTTGTTCTTGTTTTTTTTCCCCTTCTTTTTTCTCTCTGGCGCCGATTCCCGTCCAGGTACATGCAGGAATGTAATGATTCTTCTTGAGCAAACGCGGTGTGGAAAGCGATACGCGACTTTCAATAGCTTGTTATGTGTTTTCTCTTGCCCTCTTCCGTTCTCTCACTTTATGCCCTGTCATGCGTCTTCTCTTGGCCTCTCTTCCTTTCTCTGTTCCTTCGCTCTTGCAATCTCCTCCCTAATTTTTCTCGGTTCTCTTCTCTCTTCTGAGTTGGCCTCCTATGCTTTACGGTCATAGCCGCATTATATTCTCCTTCGTTTTTTTTTCGCTCTCTGTACGTTTCACTACGCTTTTCCTTCGCTTACTCCCTTCCCTCTCCATTCTCTAATGAGCGCTCTGAGTTCTTGGAACATGTGTCTATGTATCGTACTATCAACTGAGATCGTGTTCAGAAGCATGCATAAGGGACTACTTTCAGTCTAGATACTTTAATGACCATGTATGCCCGTTGCTTTCATTTCTTTTCCTTTCATTTCTCGGTCCTCCCCTCTCCTCTCCTCTCCTCACACTTGTCTCCTCTTCACCCATCTTCCCTCTTTCGTTTCTCTTTTTTTTGTCTCGTCCATTCTCTCTCCTCCTCTCCTCGCAACTCTTTCCTCTCCCTCCTCTCCTATCCGCTCCTCTCCCCTCTTTCGTATCTTCTCTTCTCTCGTCTATGCTCTCTCCTCTCTCCCCTCTCCCCTCGTCGCTCATCTCTATATTCTCCTCTCTCTTCGCTCTCCTCTCTCCCCTTGCCGCTCCTCTCTCCTCCCTTCTCTCTCCCTCTCTCCCTCTTCTATCTCCTTTCACCACCCTTCTCTCCTGTCCACTCCTCTCCCCTCTCTTTCGTACCTTACCTTCACTTCTCTTCTCTCCCCTCTCTCTCCTCTCTCTCCTCTCTCTCCTCTCTCTCCTCTCTCCGTGCTTATTTATCTACCTGCCGTTTTGCGGAGTTTGTCGAATTCTCCACCGGCTTCGCCTCAAAGAATGCCTCTATTATGTATTTTTTTGTCTGTTAATTCGTTCATTTATTTATATATGTTTCCTTCCTCTCTTCTTTGCCTCTTTGCCCTTTGGCTATGTGCAAGTGGGTCGATATGACACACGGGGGTGAGGGCAGCCGCCGCTCAACCTACATCCACGTGGGCGGCCTTGTACGCAAGAGGAGGTTCTGAACAGGGGGAGTTGTAAGGAAGAAGATAAAAAACGAATACATTCTTTTCTTTGTTTTCTTTTTTTCTTGTTTTCTTTTTTTTCTTATTTTTCGCTTTTGCGCTCTGATATTCATGTGACGATATATGTATCATTTTCGTCCGTTCTCTTTCCTCTCTCTGTTCTTACTCTATACACGCCGTCTCTTTAGACGTGGTCAAATCCTAACCCTTCTCCTGCCCGAAGAATGTCACATAGCTCGATTATTATTTTGTTTAGTTATTTGTGAACGCGATAGCCTTTTGATTGAGCAGCGATTTTTTTCATTGAACAGTCCGTTTTTGATTAAACAGTCCTTTTCTATTGAACGTCCGTTGTTTGATTGAACGTTTCTCTTTGCTTTTTTAATTAAATGTCCCTTTCTTGATCGAACATCCGTTTTTTTGGGATTGAACATCCGTTTTTTTGGGATTGAACATCCGTTTTTTTGGGATTGAACATCCGTTTTTTGATGGAAGTCCTTTTTTGGTTGAAAATTCCTCTTTTGGTTGAACATTCCTTTTTTGGTTGAACAGTCCTTTGTTGGTTGAACATTCCTTTTTTGGTTGAACATTCCTTTCTTGGTTGAACATTCCTTTTTTGGTTGAACAGTCCTTTTCTATTGAACGTCCGTTGTTTGATTGAACGTTTCTTTTTGCTTTTTTAATTAAATGTCCCTTTCTTGATTGAACATCCTTTTTTTTGGGATTGGAAATCCGTTTTTTGATGGAACAGTCCTTTTTTGGTTGAAAATTCCTGTTTTGGTTGAACATTCCTTTTTTGGTTGAACAGTCCTTTGTTGTTTGAAATCTTCTTTTTTGATTGAACTGCCTTGTGTTCCATTGAAAGAATCCTTGTCTGAATGAGTAGCAGGCCTTGTCTGAATGATCATACTTTTTTTGAGTGAACAATCTTCGTTGAGTGATGATTATACTTTTTTTGAGTGAACAATCTTTTGATTGAATGATTAGCGCTTCGTTGAGTGATGATTTGAGTGAACAGTTTTTTGATTGGATATTCTTTCAATCGAATAGCATTATGATTGAACAACGGCCTTTTGATTGAATAGCCTTGTAATTGAACAGCATTATGGGTGTCTTTCCACTACTGGCCACATGCACAAAAGTCGCGAAAATATGGCGGTGTATCTTGCCATGGTTTAGCGGAAGATTCATTCTCATTTTCCACATTTGGTGAGTAGTGGAGCGAGGCCTTATATGATTGAAGAACCAGCCTTTGATTGAAATGAAACTTCTTCGATGTTTCTACCTCCAGATGTAAGGGGCTCATCTTCTCCCCTTCTCATACCGTTCATTGACCTCCGCTGTCCGTTATCTTGCGGTGCAGCGGAGCACTCGAACACCTGTACTTTGGCAGGTATATATTTTGCCTCGCTCACTCAACCACTCACCTAGTTGAAGCGGGTAGGAGAAATGGCCAATGTATCGTACAGATAGCCTACCCTTCTTCCCCCGAATACAACATACGGTCATTATAGCTGTATTTGAGGCATATTTCAGTATAGATACAGCTATAATGACCGTACGTTGTATTCGGGTGAAGAAGGTAGTGGAAGATACAGATGACATTTTCTCATTTCGAAAGTAGTGTAATTGCCCTCTTCCCCCGAGCATAACGCGCACCCACATCTTGATTGTATCGGACCAGAAAGCTTGCTTGTATACATTCATGAGGGTGCGTTGTGTTTGGGGGAAGACGGTAGGGCCGGTGCCACGTAGCAAGAAAAGGTGAACATGAGAAAAGTCGTCGGCTTCTCTTGAACATATAACGCACCCCCATCTTTATTG